TCTGTCTTTAGCTGAGATTTTATTTTTTTGTTCTTTTATCATCGAAGAAGAGATCTTATAATAATAGCAAATGCACATCTAACTATGCAAATAATGAAAATGCCCTTTTGTGAAGAAGACATAATAGATATATTTTAGTGGAATCTCTTTTTGAAGTATAATTTATTGAATCTGGCCTAATATTTCTCATGCTTAGCTACTTATACAAAATATTGAGGTTCTTACTGACTTCTTAGCACATCAATCACATTATGAACACAACTGACCTTGATTCAGACAGTATTTTGTACTATTATTTGCTTTATTTATTACAGAAGAGATGTGCTGAATTTTTATTATGCTTGACGATTCCCATTCATATATAATTATAGCTATAGGTCACAAAGCTCTGATAATAAATGAGAGTCTGTACAAAGCTTAACTTCACAGTTCTAAAAAAAATATTTAAAATGTCTATTGTTTGTAAAGGTAAGGCTACATTTTCTACTCATCTTTAGTATTAAGTTACCTTTTTAAATATGAAAACAGACAGCTACAAAGTGTGTTAACGCAGACCAACCAGAAAATTAAATTTTCATTGATGTGACTTTAGTAAACTGAAATTTGATTGGTAGCTTTGGGTTATCACAATTTTTAGATATGTTGTTTTTACTAAATGTAATTTTTTTTTCTTTCGCATTTTGTTATCATATGATTACTTTGAATTGTCTAGAGCGGTGGCAAGGTTTATTATAAGAACTATAGCCAGTTGGACCATACCCACAGATATATCATGACCAAACTCCACTGATGTCACATATACACTTTGCTATTAAACCACAATTTAGCTTTGGAAGAATTGCATTTTTTAAAATGTAATAGGAACATATACATTAAGTTGCCATTTGATTTCCATATGATTAGTGCGTTTTAGAGTCATCAAAGATCATGTTTCCCCTGCTATCAACTGTGAATTTAGTTCAATGATTTTTTTATTCATTTACTAGTTCACTTCCTCATATGACTCTTAAAGTGGTTTTAATGGCAGTTTTTTTTTGCCTAAATTAATCTCCCACCCTTTCCCGTTATACTTACCTGAGCCCGATCTTGTTCCAGTGCTGTGCCCAAGAGCAGCAGCGGTCTCCTCTCTCTCCCTCCTTACTAGACATGGAGGCAGCAGTGGGAGCCATTGGCTCCTGTTTCTGTCAATCATAGCCTGTGAGGAGGGAGTAGGGGGCAGGGCCAATCTGTGCTGTGTGTGTCAATGGAGTCCGACTCAGGATGAATCCCACTTGTGTGCCCCCATAGCAAGGGGCACTCAGAGGGGGGTAGAGACCAGGAGCACCAGTAGGGGACCCCCTGAAGAGAAGGATCAGGGTTGCTCTGTGGAAAACCATTGAACAGAGCAGGCAAGTATGACATGCTTGTTATTATAAAAATCCTATACAATCACTTTCGGGTATATAATAAAGATGTAATAATGAAGTGAAAATGTTATTTGCATAGAATGATTTTGTGTACAACAGCACAATCCTGCCTTTGTTGAAGGTTTCAATGCATTCTGTATTTCGTTTATATGTTCTTCTGAAAACCTGCAAAGTTTATGTGGAGATGATATTGGAATACTCACTTTGCTATAATCACCCCTATGCTTAACACTCATAATGTATAAATTAGAATAAAAATAATCCAGCAGCATAATATAAATACCCTTACAGACATACTGCTTTGCATACACTTAACTGAAAATCCCATTATTGGTTTATTAACATTATCATCTACATTTACCTGTCTAGGTGAAATCAAGTTTTAATTAAGATCAGTACAGTAGCCATAATTTGGGGCACAGAGTTGTAGTCTGCAGCCAGCCGTTTAATTACTACCAGGCAGTTGCTGAGCAGTTCCCTACATACAAGGCGCACTATATTCATTAATTAGCTGCATACACTTGGGAGATTTAACATGTCTCTAGCTTTTAGACCAGTCTAACATTTCACAGGGACCACTAATGTCATTTTCCTTTTTCCTTTTGTAAAATGGTCGTTAAGTGAAAAATGAAAGCAAGGTTGAACTTAAACCAGATGGAAGTGTACAATGTTCTCTTTGCTTTTCTAATTGAAAACACAGTATGGCTGTAATAGATTTGGCAAATTGCAAACAAAATGGCCTTGTTTACATGACTATCAACAACCTGAAAGCTTTAGCCAAAGAGACAAATGTACATATGTTTGTCCTAAGAGCGTGAACGTAATGCTGTATTTTTGAGTTGAACGCAACATTTAAAAGAAAGCTGATGTCTTTATGTGCAGCATGTCTGTGTGTAAGTATAGTCAACTCAAGTAATACTGATTATATGCCATAATATATAAGTCATTCATTTAATTATCTAAATATATATGTCAGCCAATATATCTGCATGCTGTATTTGGCTGTGGCTGACTGCTTTACCTATTTAAATGAAAGTCTATGAATGGTTCACACAATAGGTTTTTATCAATAGCTGTGAGGGTTTCACTGAGCAAAACTCTTTCCAGTTGCACTCCCCACGTGTCTTGCTCTGTAATTGATTTTCTTACAGCAGTGAATTAGCAAGGATGGTATTTTAATAGGTTTTTTTCTTTGTAAACATTATTTCATAAGACAAACAGCAATATAGCAAACAGAGTAACCAATAGCAAACAATAAGCAATCATGATTAACTATTCTGACAGCTCCAAACTGGTTAAAGGTGAAATCTGATTGGTTGGTATAGGCTATTGCATTGTGCCGATTATGACTGCTCTCTGTGCTCTGGTAAGAAACACACCTATATATGGATAATTATCTAATGATGTTTAAACCTATAATCTTGATTAAAAAGATATAGACTCAGGGATCTTAGCAGGAGTGTAATGATCAGGTAACACGTGTAAGCACACTGTTGTAGTATTGTAACATATGCCTCTTTTTAGTCTTTATAATCCATATGCCATAAAATTAGCTAGAGCTGTTTGACTCAACAGCAACACCTCATTATTTTATTTCTTCAGTATTTATTCCAATGTTTGATGCCTCATGAAATTACTGCTAATGTGTTATAGAAGGGCAATTTTGACACAAGTGAGAAGGATTTAATTCCCACGCATTCTGTCCTGCTGGTATGTCCTTCCCTCCCCTGTGGTAGAAGTAGCAAGAGTAAATAGTTAATTTGCTTCAATTATAAGCCTGTCCTGCTAAATTAGAAGCAGCAGGGATATGAAGAGGCAGAATTACACTTATGAGCTGACAAATCCTCAGAGCCTGCAAACTGATGTCTTTTTCTTGGAGCCACAGAAATACCATTCATTTTATGTCAGTCAAATCAGTTACACGTTATTGGCGCTCACACATTCACTAGTCACGTTGCTTAATCACTCTATAAATGGCCAATGTCTTGGGCTTTAAAGATGATTTGCCCCAATGTAACATTTTAGCGCCTGGCATCTGGAGGTTTGTCCTACTGGTTACAACAAACTATTAAACTTTGGGCCTATGGTTTATAGCACTGCAACACTGTAATTCACTAATACAATATTCCAGCAATAAAACCCCTGCTAACAGAGATAATTACATGATATTTCAAAGTAGATATTGGTATTGTTATAAAACATTAACCCCTTTCAGGCATTAGGTGAGCTTCCAATTATGTGATCAGTGTGATTGGCTATCACAGTGGTCTTGCAATCGGGAGCTCATCCTCCCAATTCCCAGTCGTAAGCAGTGACCAGTCACAGTGCTGGGGCGCCAAGTAAGCATGCTCCCAGCACAGGATAGTGCTACAGGCTGCATGGATATATGTGGCAACTCAGTGTTTAAGCCCTGCCTGACACATAAATACATATGGCTGATGGTAAGGAGTTAAAGAAAATACAGGTAGAATAACATTTACAGTAACTAGAACTGTGGACATTATTTGATGTTCATGGTCTATCATTTTATTTAGATTAATTTGTAGCAGTCATAAACGTGGAAAAAAAAATAAGATTACATTTCTTAAAGTGTTACTAAACCCACAACAGTAAAATCAGCCAGTAAAGCATGCTTTTATACTCACTGTGGAACTTACGGGGTTAATCCTCTGCATTGTGTAAAAATGCTGTTTGATCCAGACATCTCTGATCCTCCCCTTCTTCCAGTGTCCCCCTATTATCTCCTAATAAGACATATTGTGTGGAGTCACTCTACACATGTTCAGTTTGGTGTGTATTGCTAGAGAGGGTTTTTTTTCTTGGGAGAGTGCATGTGATCAGCACAGGGCCAATCAGCACTGTACAGGCTGAGGCCAGGGGGTTCTGTATCTTCCTAGAGCAAAATGAAAACTCCTCCTACAAGCTTTAACCAGTGCTCGGCTGGACACTGATACAAGTCACAAGACTGCTCTAACTGCTGATGACAAAAGGTATTTAGCGGTTTATATTTACTAAAATAATTGCATTTTCATGTTCTGTGTACTGTGGGGGACCGGATAGAGTGAATGCAGGGTCCTGGGTTTAACTACACTTTAAGTGGACAGAGTGTGCCTGAAGCTCCACCTGATTGTTTGAAATAATGAATATAAGATAGTAAATGATTTATTTTAGGCCTGAGCACAATATAAACATGCAGAAACACCATAAATTCACTTTAAGCAATGGCTCCACACAGAAAGTTGGAATTTTTAGGGGCACAGTACAAAGAAAATCAAAACTTGGGGACAGGATAAAGCATACAGGAGAAATAAAAATGTCAGTGTTGCTCATAAAACCAATCAAATTCCAAGAATCAATTTCTAAACTTTATTTCTGTTCTTAAGAAGCTGGCCTATTTGTTATAGAAAAGCCTCAAATGTCATGTTGCAACATTGCCAGATTATATTGCTTTATTAGAGTTGTAAGAGGCATGCATTAGACTTAGTAAGATCCTTGTGGTTTATTCATCAAGATGCCTCAGTGAAGAGGCAATAGATTTTCAAGATTTTTGAAAAGCTTTGTATGATTAAATGTTTAAATGTGTGTTACTTGCAGGTGTATAAGAAGAAAACTGAAGCTGCCAAAAAAGAGTATCTGAAGCAGTTGGCTGCATATCGAGCAAGTCTTGTATCCAAGGTAATGTCAAATATTTATGCCATACATTTTTCCAGTACTACTTAAATGCCTTGCCAATATTATGTAACATTCCACAACCGAAAAATGGGAAACTCATTTACTGCAATCATTTTTTACAACTAATATTTGAGATTCAAAACAAGTTACAACTTAAATGTACCTGTAATGAAAGTAATAATTTAGTCCGGAGTGGGTGATAATTAGAGCATTTATTCGTATGTATCCTAGCAGCTTGTGCAGATCACTGTTGGCATTCATTTATGTTTTCTTGCTTTCTCTATGTTTGTGTGTCAGAAGATTCCACAATGTAGACAACAGTTCCATTACTATAACAGCAAATGCAGCATAAGCAGTAAGGGAAGTAAACTGTATACTTAACTTGCAGCTTAAAGTGGATCCTCACCCCAACTGCAAGGATTAGGTCTCTTCCTTATCTTTAGGATTGTCATTGATCTATCACGCCTCCAGTATCCTACAGTATAGCAACAATAACTGCTAAATATTCTGGTAATCCCATATGTAGGACATTCTCCTTGTAGAGCACTAGGAATTTTGTGAAGACAAAGACATGAAGAAAGCTTCAGCATTTATATCCTGTAGTGGAGTTTTCACAGGAATATACAGGAAATCCTCTTTTATGGAGGAAATGTATTTATTTATGCTTTGTATTTATATGGTACTGACATATAACACAGACCACATGCATGTCCACTAGGGCCAAATTTGTAGGGCACAGACTACATGTTTTTCTAAGTTTATAGCCACAGAAATCAGGAATTGAGCCACAGTCAGGGGTGGACTGACCATTTGGAAACTCGGCACTGTCCGAGGGCCCGGGGTCAGTAGGGGGCCCCATGAGATGCCCCTGGTACCTTTTTCATAGGCTTTTTTGATTTTTTTTTTCGCAAGGACACAAGGGCCCCATGATCCCCTATTGCCCGGGGGCCCCATGAGTTGTCAGTCCGCCCCTGGCCACAGTTATACCACAACTGTCATGGCTGGACTAAATAACACAGAGCCCTTTCTGATGGGACACTGAATATGGTAAATATTGATTGGACTGGACTGCCCTAGTTTTAGTTCGAGCAGCATTCAGTGAACGTCAAAGAAGTTCAGATCCTGACCCCATTGAAATCAATGGGAGCTGAATCTGTCAAATCAAAAATGCCCTTTTCTGAACTAACAGGCAAAAGGTTTATACAAAAATAGCAATAGGGTGGAGGGAGAAGGGCTTGGACACTGCACCAGGGAACTGTTGGCTATTTCTGTTGGCTTCTAAAAAAAAATGAACACAGAACCCTCCAATGTTCCCCCAAAATACATAGCAGACTGTTAAGAGTCGGCTGTATATTACTGGGGGCCTTTGGAGGGTCTGTGTGCCTTTTTTAACTGTATAATTCTTTCTTTGTAAATTCCACATTTGTTGCAGCACATCCCACTGCAAGAATGAAAAAAAAAAATAGCTTAGAGCCCCCTCTGGCTGACCATAGTACACAATACCTAGTACCCCTACTCATTCACTAATAAAATTAAAGTATAAATAAAAACAAAGGCACAGGGTTTGATAAAACCTTTCATTGAAAAATATAAAAAGCCCCACAATGTACATCAACAATGCCTTATGCTCACTGAAAGAAAAAAACAGCCGACTCTAACCCAACGAAGGCCAGTTACCGAATGACAGCTATGTGAACAATATAAAGGAAGGGGGGGGGGGATAATGATGACATCACTGCCCAAATATGTCCATGTGGCCATATTTAATCATTGATGTCACACACACACCCCCATCCCCGGCCATATAAATGAATAAGCCAGGTGACGTCAGTAGTTTATAAGGACACAGCAGGTGCAAGCACCCACTGCTTGCTTAGCAATTATTGACAACCAGGATCCGTCACTTTTTTCCTCTTCTGTTTGGACCAAATATACAGCTCACCATCTGAGACACTGTCTTTTGATTAGATTTATTTTACTTTATACATAAACAAATTACATTGTGTGAGGAAAGTAGTACATGATAGTGCATTAATTATTGTGTAACTTTTTAACTATCATCCTATATTACATTATTTTAGAGCTACATGTGAATTTTGTATTTACTATATCCATATTTGAATGCATTCTATTAATCGAAGAATAATAGCTTAGGTCAGACAAGTGCAGAACTACTGAAGATCCCTCTGCACAAACCATATGATAAAGGCTCCTTATAATGTATTTCCTTTGACTCCTGTTTGAGTTTCTGGATGCACACATTAATGGCAGTGGTCTTGTCTCTGGTCACTCATGTCTAGCTTTGGCTTCTGTTTTGTGTTCATGGTGAGGTGCACACAAATATGCCAGCACCTGGGGCAAGCATCTTAGGGTTCCAATCTCCTGATCCTTTAACTAAAATAATTACAAATAATTTCTAAAAGGTTAGTACTATTTACAATAATCAAGCCCCATTATGTTAGGGAAAGGCCACTGCAAGAGAATACATTAAAAAAATTATAAACAGCTGGCTATAGGGATTCAAATGTATTATTACTGTGAGGTTAAGTGTTATTTTAATTAAAGACAGTATTTTTAACTGATCTGATGAAGGCATGTTGTTCTATTCACTGCATGTTTACATTGTGTAAATGTATAAACTACATTCTTTAGTGAAACATTACTCAGGAGAAATAATGTATATTCACTCCATAAATTGACCCAGACCAATGCATTCATTAATTGAATTTGTAATGTGCTGCCAGCCCCTTGAGGGGGTAGGTGAAGATCAATCAAATTCCGGCCACTGAACATGCAATTTATCACACTAATGATCTTTTCACTAACCAGAACTAGCAGTTTACATTAAGTAAACACCAAGATTTCAGTGGTCATACTAAACTTCAATCCATATAAATATTTCTGCACAGATTCAGTTTTAGTTTAGTTTGTATTTAGTAAGGTTAATCAGCATTTTGATTCTAGTCAAGACAAAAGAGCTATTTATACCTTCCAGAGAAGAACATTCAATTGAGACCACTAACAGGAAAGATCCATTATACAGCTATGAACAAAAGCAACACTGAAAGTATATAACTGACTGATTAGAATTGACCTGTGCTTTATTGGGGAGATTTTAGGCTTGATTAAATCCTGCCCATACTTGTGCTTAACCATACCTTCTGTCATTCAACCATTAAAGTGAATGTTAAAGTGGAAATTCACCCAAAAGGGGAGGTTCTCCTTGTTTGCCCCCCCCCCCCCACTTCCACATTTGGCACTTTTTGGGGAGGAGCAGATACCTGGTTTTGACAGGTACCCACTTCCACTTCCAGTCAGATGTGCTGCAACGATCTGAGCCTGACGTTTAACCTCCCTTTCATGGCCTATCAGTCTACATGCTCAGATAAGGGTCTAAATGGATTATTGGGAGAAACCCCATGCTTTTTTTTTTTTTTTTTTTTTGGTGTGTAGTCTCCTCATTAATTATAAAGGTTTTAGTATGTGTTTTAAGGGGAACTCCACACCATTTTTTTCTGAAGATGAGGGGACTCCCCAGACACTATCTATGCAATCAGAATTAAAGCAACCAAAGTTGTAATTTGTCAGCAAGTTAAACAGCATTTTAAACACCACTTCACAGGCAGATTAAGGGTATCTCACAGACATGATATTTAGGGATTTTGCATTTTAATCCCCCCTCAAAGCATTAATAAACTTGCTGTTCACTGCCAAAAGAATTTATAAAAAAAAAATTTTTGTTGCATCGGTACGTGTTCTCTAGGGCATTTCCAACCCCCATATGATTTGCTTGACAATCACTTGCCTATTAACCTAGAAAATGACCATTACTGTTTTTTAACATTGGTCTCTTGTTGGCTTCTATTGACACCAGAACATCAGTCATTTTCTGCAAACCTGCCTCGAACCGAACCCAGGTACATTCAGCTCATCCCTAATTGGGATACCCTCTTCCTGTGAGGATATTTTCCCCGGAAATTATAAAGTGACCTGTGTCAACTTTACTTTTTTGTTAATAATTTTAAAAATGTTCCTGGTCACGACTGTACCTTTTTAAGTATTGCTATGATAACTTTTTCCCATTGTACTCCCTCTTATGGCATAGCTTTAGTATCCAACATTAGTTACTGCTAATTTTATTTGCCAGACAAAAGTGCATTGAGTCATAGTCTTTCATATGTTACCTGCTTCTTAATATCACTTTCCAAGTAGGTGGTACTAAAAGGACTCAATTTTCCTAACAATTCTCTGTCCAGTTTACATGTTACTGGTGAGACCAAAATATACATTTTTTTTTCCAGTCCAAACATTACTTGGATATTACAAGGCCAAGAACAGTAAATGCTGATATCATCTGTTTTCATAATTGCCCTGATTTTCTATTCTAAAGTAAATAGCTCCAAGTAATGGTTTCTTTTATGATCACCATCTCTTCAATTTAAATACAACATGACATGTAGCAAAAATAAAATATCACTGCAAGCCTTTTAAGAAATACTGTAAACCATAAAAATACAGTCTTTGGCCACAAAGAGAATGTTCTTATTCCCTGGCCAGCAAGATGTGAAAATGATTACTTCTTTATAGTGTACTACAAGTATTCTATGTATAAAGAGAAATACAATGGCAACTGTGGGTCACAGCTTGTGATCAAAGTTGTACCTTCATTTTTAAACCTTGCTAGAAAAATATGAGCTGTAATGTGATTGTCTTTGTGTGTTAATAAGGTAAAGCTATTGAGTAATTTAAACATTGTATATTTTTTTCCAATAGAGCTACAGTGACCCTCTTGATAATAAGACATCACAGCAATCTCAGATGATGAATTCAAAGCCTCCAGTGTTCCATGGACCCACACAGGCACACTCTACACTGTATCTCAGTTCCCCTTATCACCAACAGTCAACAATGAACCCACATTTATCCACCATGCATCCTGGAATCAACAGGAACATAGCTCCCAAACCCAGCAACCAAATGCCAGTGACTGTTTCTCTAGCAAGCATGGCTGTTTCTCCCCCTCCATCTCTTCAGATGAGTCCACCTCTCCACCAGCATCTGCACATGCAGCAACACCAGTCAATGTCAATGCAGCAGTCAATTGGAAACCAGCTACAGATGCAGAGTCAAACAGCTTTGCATTCACCAGCAATGCAGCAGGTTAGTATATTTTTCCTTTCTTTGAAACGTTTATGCTTGTAGAAATTTGAACAAAAAAAGCTATTTACTTCACCAGAAAGGATTTCTTTCCTAATATTTGAAAATACAGAAGAAGAGTAGGGTACAAAATTACAGATTCTCATTGCAAATCCTGCATTGAGAATATTAGCAAGTTAGAAGTCCAAGCCTTTTCCTCTGGTCTCAGTTGTACAAAATAGAATAATTTCTCATGAGACATGGGGATTAGTCAGCATGTTGAAAAATATTAGCCAGTAATCACGCAATTCTCCTGTTTATACATGATTGTTATTACTCAAATGTGAAATTGTTACATTGCTCAATTGTTGCATGCAATGTTTGCTTGAAAGGCCAAGTCCTCCTTTTTAGAACATGTTTCATATTACACCCATATTTAGGGGTAACATGAAGCATGGTGGCATACACCATCCCCATGCTCCTCTCCTCTTCCTTACCTGAATAGTGGGTGCTTTTGCCAGTAGAAAATTGTTATCATCTAACTTGCCTGTGCTTGGATTTTTTTTTTTTCCAAATAAATAAGAAGTAAATAAAAAGAAAAGCACAGAGAATGACTAGTATATTGTATAGGGAGTGCCTCTAATTAGGCAAGTTTATTTGCCAAGATAAAAAACGATTTATTCATTTGTATTTTTTTTTTTTTATGCCACTGTTTAAAATTGGAGGTAACAGTTGGCAAACTGGCACATTTATCCAACCTTAAATCTCTTTTTTATCTGCTATTGACAAGATGAAGTCCCAGATACAAAAGATATACAGTACATAGCCTGCTGGTCAAATGATCGTTTCTAGTTCTTGTTAAGGAATGATGAACATCCTCAAATCCTGGAGCCATATACCTAAATATTTTGTACATATTTGCACAATCCTGCTTGTTCATATCTATTTATCCATTCAAGCATGTATGGATACGGTCCTGTGTTTATTTCTGTGGAAAGTACATCTGAAAGCTTACTGTACATACTGTGAATTATAAAATTGATAGCATTTTGAAAAAATGTTGTGCCACGACTTTTGCTTTCTTGTTGATTACAATCTTTATTTGCTGTGCCAGCAGCTTGTTATTTTAAATCTGACACATAGAGCTGGAATCACATCTTAAGTGTGAAATGTACAAATATTTCTCTCTAGTAAACCATTTCCGTTGTGTGATATTCATTCCTTGTAGAATTGTATATTTGTTCATGAACTGCGTGCAATCTGGTAAACAGTAAAGTACAGAAGGAAAGTACAAAATTTTTAGGACAGATTATAAATAATAATGTATAATGCAGAAATTACAAGTTAGGTGAAAAAATGTTTTATTTAATCATTGGATCTTTGCTGTACTGATGGTGTTGTAATGTAAACATTTGGAGATATTAAAAGGGACTGGTGCCAGTTACTATATTTAATGACATTTAAAAGTTATAACAAATTTTCCTCTTTGTTCTATCTATAAGGAAGTACATTAATTTTATAGTATATGGCAGCTTTTTTTTTTTTATTTGGCCTCCCTGGTTATGTCCATGATTGGCCTATAATGCAGCAGACTTTTCTTTACAGGAGCTTAAGACTGACTTCCATAGAGGGGAGATGGCTGACTTAGGTTCCCTATCATTCCTCTGTGAAGAAGCAACATATGCTCAAAGACATGGGAACATAATGGGACTTCCTTTCAGACAATGCAGCAGACCTTTCTATATAGTAGTTTTTTGGATGAGTTCCTTAAATGGCAGATGACTGCTTTAATTTTCCCTGTCAAGTCCCGATGAAGAAGCTAAATATGCTCAGAGACATGGGAACATGATGGGACTTCCTTTAAGACAATGCAGCAGACTCTTCTATACAGTAGTTTTTGTGGATGAGTTCCGTAGATGGGAGATGGCCGGCTTAATTTTCCCTGTCAAGCCTCGGTGAAAAAGCTACATTTGCTCATAGATATAGGAACATGATGGGACTTCCTTTAGGGCAATGAAGCAGACTTTTCTATACAGTAGTTTTTTGGTTGAGATCCGTAGATGGGAGATGACCGGTTTAATTTTCCCTGTCAAGCCTCGGTGAAAAAGCTATATTTGCTCAGAGACATGGGAACATGATGGGACTTCCTTTATAACAATGCAGCAGTATTTTCTTACAGCTGAGTTCCTTAGAGCTCAGTGACACAGTTGCAGAGGGCCATACACCGACACAATTCATAGTATTTCTGAGCCCTGGGAGTCATAGATGTTTATGTACAGCAGCCTGTATCAATGAAAGGGTGACAGATGCCATGGCTGTGTGCACATCCAAACAGTAACATGCATACAGGGACAGATGATCAACCCTGGATGCAAACTGTGTGCATACAGCAGCCGCATTTAGCAGCCTGTCATTGACTTGTTTAGGCTTCTGGCTTTGGCTATACACAACCACCTGTGACTCCAAGGTGTAAAAATACTCTGTTAGAGTAATTTTAGATGGCTGCCATTACTTTTCTTGTCAGTCTCCAGGGAAGCAGATGTATATTCTCAGAGACAGGGAAACATGAAGGAGCTGCCGTGACAAATGTACTCTACATCATATTGTAGGAGAGTGCCAATTTTACTCACCATACTCAGATGCAGGAGTATGCCTATGCCTATTTAACTCCATTTCCCACAACTATCTGTGAAGAATTGTTGTGAAGAATCCTTGTTTGTGCAGTTTTCATATTCTATTTTGTATTTATTATGTAGCATGTGCATGCACTTTGCATTTTTTTTCTAACTTTGCACCTGTTTAGCAAAAGTTACTCTTTATCGGATCTCCCAGCCAATACCTAGTCTGTTAAAATACTAAACTCTGTGATGACAAAATTGCTGTGAAGCAGTAATTGGCCCCTTGTTAAATTGTAATGTCACATTTGCAGTGATAAAGCAATGAAAATGATCATTTACTTTGCATCAACCATACATTTATTTTCTAAATGTGGTTTAGGGAACTGAACAAGAATGTGTAATCCCTATTTTAAACAGCCCACAAAAAAAATCTTTTTTCTTGATGCCTTGATTTTTAGACCTGTTCTTGGGGTTATGTGGGGAGCTGATTCATAAAATTGCATTGGCTAGAATGCATCAGCTCTAGTTTCTTAGGTATGGTTACATGTATTTAATTTTTAGCCAGTTTTTGGAACTATCTTGCTGATCAACTTGTTTTTTTCTGTTATCTAGTTTGTGTTTTTGAGTACAAGTTAGCAGATATAGTGAGAGTGATTACATACTTCCAGCTTTCAGCTTTTTTTCAATTTTAAAGTGTAAGTTATTACTTTAAGTTAAAGTTATGATCATATAGGACATGTGTGTATATTGACACTCATATTGTTTCATTTTTGCAGATCGATCACTGTAGAGATTATGGCTACTTTTTTTATGTTTCTTCCATAGTACAAAATGATTAAATAAAAAACTACATTAAAATATCCTGATTTTTGACGAGCAATTAAGGTGAAGAATGGGATATGGCATTTATGCTGTATCTCAAAATTAAGCTGATTTTTGGAATCAGTGGGTCAGATATACCCAGGAACAGGTATAACATTCGAGATACCAAAATGTGTGTTGTCCTGTGATAAACACAGTGCATTAAGAAAAATTATTTAGTCATTGTTTGCACTTCTGCTATCAAGTAATCTTCAAATCTATGTATCTCCTAATGACATGAGATAATCATCACTCAAACCAGCTGTTTCTTGCCAGATTGAATGACAATGTCAAGTCTATGGCCAAAAGAGATCATCTGGCTGACCACTCTATAGACCTGTGTAGATGGGCTTTTGTTTGCATCAGAACTGCTTCTTTCCCTTTACAAACCTATACGAATGCAAAAGTAGCTTAAAGCAAGTTGAATGCAAGTCATTATTAGATCAACTGCAGGTCAAATACACCTGTTACTGAGATCTAAAGATTCTTAGGAGCATCTGAAGCTGATGTCAAAAACATCAAAAGTTGCCCCCCATCAAATGTTCCTTCCTCCAATATACCACAAATACAACTGATTAATAGTAAGGTGTGAAAGGCAGGAGGATGTGCCAGAGCTAAACTAAGTTGAGCTTCACATAACTGAGCTCTCTGAGTTTCAGGCTACTGGGGCACTAAAAACATGACTAAAGGTATATACAAGATGCTCAATGCATTTGTATTGCTACCACTGACTTGGTTATAAAGGTACTTGCTACAGTGCTGTTACTATAAGACAATAAATTGTGCACTATACAGTGCTTTAGTGGAAGGCTTTTTGATTCTTTTTGGCCTTTCTTACCATAATCTCACTAGCTATCCCAACCTAGATAACCTGTAAAAGGCAAATTTAAATGTTGATTTGATGGCCTATTAGGGTACCCTAAAGGTAATAAAGTAGCATATACAACTAGCTAAACAATGTTCAAAATTGTTAAATGTTTCCTTCTATAGTCAGATTCTATGTTTCCAGCACTAAAAAAGCAAAAGCAACAAGACTATTTGTTTTACATATTAGTGCAGAAATGAATTATGTTAATTATACCAAACAGTTTAAAACAATTGCTAATTTCTCTAGAATTACAATGCAAAGCAGAAAGAACATCTAATTGGACCCCCAAGCATCAGTTTGAAATTTTTGAGGTTTTGATCATTATGAAATACAGCTGTGTAGACAACAAAGCTGACAAAGGATGGATACAAAGGTGACAAATGTTTGAGGGAACATTACAATGGCTTAATTACTTATATATCTCACATTTTGCCAGTGCTGTAAACGGCAGTATGGTAACATTGTACAGTTTATTGAACCTAGATGTGCATGATTAAAGAGATATATGCACTGATTAGGGGGCGAAAAAGAACCTTGATCAGTACATAAATTCACAAGTATTCATAATCTTCTTTCACGTAAGTAAACTCAAGTAAACTCAAGCACTTGAAGTTCTACCCAAGAACCATAAAATGTGCTAATCTAGTAATCTAAAATTTGCTTTTTACTTTAATTTT